GGGCGTGGGGCTTGTGATGCAGGAGGAGGGAGGTGCAGGGTCTGGAGAGTTTGGGTGCAGGGGGATCTCAGGTTTGGGTCTAGGGTGTGGGGTGTTAACCTTGGGTAGCTCCCGTTTGGTCGCACAGTGGGGCTAACGCACACTCCCTGCCTGCCCTGGTCCCACACCCCTTTCAGTGTGTCTCTGCAGCCCCTCCATGCGGGCGTGGGGCTTGTGATGCAGGAGGAGGGAGGTGCAGGGTCTGGAGAGTTTGGGTGCAGGGGGATCTCAGGTTTGGGTCTAGGGTGTGGGGTGTTAACCTTGGGTAGCTCCCGTTTGGTCGCACAGTGGGGCTAACGCACACTCCCTGCCTGCCCTGGTCCCACACCCCTTTCAGTGTGTCTCTGCAGCCCCTCCATGCACTACCCTCACCTGCAGGCACTGCCCTTGTAGCTCCCATGGGCTGTGGTTCCTGGTCAATGGGAGAGGCTCCTGCAATCAGTATGCTGAGCTTCGTTGGTCAGCTGAGGGGGAAGACACCAAGGCTCAGGGCTTGTAGTGTGGAGACTTGCAATGGGCTGGATGCAATTCAGCAAGGGGTTGGATCCAGCCTGCAGGACAGTGGAGCTGGCTTTGCTTCCCCACCCCATGCTGCGGTGTATGTTTACCTAAATAAACACATTTTAACATCCCTAGTGCAGTTATTCAGGAGGTGGTCAGGATTTAGTGCTGAGGTGTCCTCTTGGCTGCTTGCATGTGTGCTCAATGATGTGTGCTGTGTTGACTTGTGCACTTAGTCTCCACAGCAGACTCCAAGAGAGCCCCCAACGATCACAAACCAGATACAGATCGAAGGTGCTTGGTCAGGTTTATTGTAGAGTGAAGTACAGTAATGTAGCTTAGGTCTAGTAAGTTGTCACTAGACTACTGAACTACTATGCGTATGTAACCCGTAGCAATGGAATGACTCAATCAGTGGGAAATTTCCATTGCCCGCTAGATCATACAAAGACTATCCCCCCAAGACACCACTTTATCTACAGATACAAACAAATTATACATCACAGCTGATGCTACTTAGATACCACCATCACCCTGGACCGTGTGGTTTGATTAGCTCATCTCAATCCATCACGCTGTCATTTTAAACCCTTTCCTGAACCTGGGTCTGTATCGGTGAGGAGTGGGTACCAAGGTCTTTTTTTAATGAGCTGGTGGTACCATGTGCTTTCCACTTGTGATTAGTACCAATTACAGTTCTACACCTTGGCCTATTACTAATTAGTGTTTTGCACCCTCAGTCCTGTTCGTGCCAAGTTCTATGAGTAGGGCCCTGCCTCTTGCTCACAACTTAGCTTTGCTTTATGATAGCCATGTTTTGCCAGTTGTAGTTAGGCCTCAGGCCACAGCCCAGGCCAGTGCTATGTTGGCTTATGTTTTAGGCCTTCATCTTACTACACCTAGGCTACACTGCAGGCTTCTTGCACAAGAACACGTCTACACTACCTTCTGCATTTGCGCAAAAAGCCCTGTCTTCTGATGACTTACTGTACTTTTTCTTGTGCAAAAACGTGCTTGTTGTGTGGACGGTCGCTCTGCGAGTTTTTGCACGAAAACTCTGCAGTGTAGATGTAGCCCTGGTGTCCATCCTCATCCCCCAGTGTGTGTTGGGGGTTTGGGTAGCTTCTTTTCTTATCTCCCCTCTACCCCCACTGTTTTCACAGGGTAGAGAAAGGTATATCTAGAGCAGTCGTGGCCAACCCGTGGCTCCCCCCCCTTAAAGTGTGACTCGTGAAACCTCCCTCTGGCTCGTGAAACCGGCCCAGCGTCCCTAGGAACAGCCTCCAGTTCCTTGAGCTCCCCAGGTGGCGGAGAGCTGTCTGACGAAGCAAAGTGGCGCCGGCTGATGGGAGCCAGATGTGGCCAAAAAGTCACCTTGAGGTTTTTTTAAAGGGACAGTGTCCTTTTTTGGTTTGACCAAATGCGGCTGGGATGCTTTTTGTGTGTTTGTTTTGCTCGACAACTTTTCCCCCCACAGCTCTTTGAGCTATATGCACAACCAGGGCTCGCCAGCCGCGCTGTCTGGCGATCTGTGCATGTGCAGATCGTTCTGCGCATGCACAGATCGCCCGAACCCGGCTCTTCTGGGTTGCAGTCTACTCACCACGGGCGAGTAGATTGCATTATTTGTCGAGCCCTGTGCACAACTATTTTGGCTCTTTGCCTGTAATGGGCTGGCCACCCCTGATCTAGAGTATTGCCCCCAAGTGGCTGATTGGGGGCAGTTCCTCTTACCACAGTGGGCTGTGGGGATGCAAATAGCAATTGCTGTGACTCTGCCTTGTTGAGGGCTCTTTCTTTGCGTACCACCTGAGCTACATAATCGGGACATAAATGTCCTTTGTTGTTTCATTCTTCTGTTTTGTACTCCTCTGAGCCATGGTTATTGTCTAATGCCACAATGTTTACTCCTTTATCTCTAGGATGCGTATAGTGGATGATGATGTGAGCTGGAATAGCATTTCTGCTGCACAAGAGAAAGAGGAGGAGGAAGAGGATGAAGGCGACCTGCCTGTGGTGGGTACTCAAGCGTAGGAAGGCTTGTGCTATCAAAAACCAAATTCTTAATTGTATTGAGTACCCTTTCAAACTTCCTGAGGCCATCATGGGAAAAACACATGCCAAGCATTGCCCGGTGGGAGTGGCTCCCCTTGCAAGTGGAAAAAGTGAATAACTGTATGGAGATCTTATTAGTATTCTGGAAAGAATGATACTTTGCATTCCGAGATTTTTTTTTTTTTGCATTGCAGTAAATCAAGAGACTTAAACCAGATTTGAGCCTTTGTCTGCAAGGCTTTGTGTAGCTATCGGCAAAGGGAGCATTTGGTTTATAAGCTATTTATCTGCTACATCTGTCTCTGGAAATAAAACAACCTAGCAAAACAACATTATAGCAAAGAGAGAGAGAGAGAGCAGCTGACCCTGCAGTGCTGCTGTTTTAAGAAGGATTTTCAGAGATAGTAAAAATTGACTAATAGCATATGTTGCCCTTATGGGCATATGTGCAACTCTGTTGGTCTTATTCAGTGGCAGATTTGTCTTTGAGTGCATGTGAAAGATATAGCTGCACAAGGGCAATTTTACACTATAGGTTGCATAAAGAATGCAGGATGCCCAGTGTCAAGGTTTCAAATTTGTTTTCAGTTACTGTTTTGCTTCATGATTCTTATCCGTTCTGGGGGTAATTGCTTCCTAAAGCATATTCTCTTGGGCTTTGCCTAGCTGAGGTTCTGATGGCATACTATAGGTAGACTATAAGTAGCAACATTAAATAGGATGTTGTTGAGTTGTTAATAATATTTTAAAAACCTTTATTTGAGTTACCAACAGCATCTGAGATACTGAAAGGTTTTTAATTAGGCCCATCAGTTTCACTTATTGCTTCTTTTGCACTAGCCCATCTTCAATGTCTTGTGACAAGACACTGTTTGGATCTAAAACTTCCCTTCAGACAAGTAAAAGCAAGAAGTTCCCATTGGAATTGATATGAGATTTTTTTTTCTAATGCCTGGTTTTGAGCCAAATCTAAGTTTTCAGGTTAGGCTGCTTGCAGTGGTGGGGTGGGCCTTGTTTTAAATGAAAAAGAAGTAGTGGAGAAGTGTTGCAAAACAAAATAACAGATGAGAGAAATATTTTGAAAAGTTTTTAAAACAACCCTTTGCAATGAAGTCAAATAAGCCTGTACAGTTGATGCTGTGAGATAAGCTAAGCAACTTAAGTACAAAGGGATGTTTTGTTCTAAAGGTACAGAGAACAACTCAGTCCAAAATACAGCCAGAGGCTTTAGCAATATTGTAGTGTGTAGGGATGTTAAAATGCATTTATTCAAATAAACATGTAATTGCTGAAAATTTCAGTGGTTACACAGTTGTACGTGGCAGAGGCAGGCGATTTCCCAGGAGCCACTATGTGCGGGGAGCTGGCTTAAAAGCAGGCTTCTTGCATGCACTGGCTCCCACCACCCCCCTTCCAAGGTACTGCTGCCTTTGTATCATAGGCAGCAATATGGGGGCAGAAGGAAGGTGGCTCCATGGGAGCTGGAATTTGCGGAGAGCCGGCTTAGAAGCTGACTCCCCCTGTGTACTGGCACCTGTCTGCTCTCTCCACTCTCCCCTCACAGCTGCCTCTGATACAGAGAGAGAAGGGAGGGAGGAAGTCTGTGTGTAACCATGCACATTAACTGGAGTGTTAATTAATTAATGTGGAGTGTACACGGTTACACTTTCATATCCTAGTAGTGTGTAAGAAGTCTGCGTAGTAGAATGATTGAGGTTTACAGGTATACCACATTAGTTGCCTGTGTGTGGTTTGTTTGGTTTTTTTTGAGAGAGAGAGAGAGTATAAAATCTCCTTGGCTCTAACTCTGCTACGTTACATTCAGGTGGCAGAGTTTATTGATGAGCGTCCAGAAGAAGTGAAACGGATGGAAGAATTCCGGACAAATAATAAATGGAAGCTTTTAGGAGGTAAGCTGTGGTGTTGGTTGTGGTTATTTTAGCCCCAGCGAAGTGTTCAGCTTAGTACCATACCCATAAATGTAGGAAGTCCATGTGCCACAGAATTTACACTTAAACATAGGTATGTAGAAGATAGGAAAACTGCTTGGTAACCCAGAGGTGGAGAGGGCTTATGTTATATAGGGTGTTCATTCCATATTTTCATACATATATTTTCTTATGGGCCTAACAGAAGAAATGCGCTTTCCAGAGGTACTTGACCAAAAAGAGGATGTTTGGTTTGGAGAGGGTGTTGTGTAGGAAAGAGGCAGTATGCAGTGTTAAATGTGGAGCGTGGGGCAAAGTACAGAGAACAGAAAGGACTCTGGATGAGATGTGCATGGGTTTGAAGATAAAGACAAGAGCTTTAACTTCACTTCAGCAACTTCACTTTATTTCTGCAGTTGTCAGGTGGTCATTGATGGAACTGAGGATGATAGTGGGCGTATTTATCCTCTGTAGAAGATGAGAGAGTCGGGGCCCTCTTAGTTGGTTGCAGGCAGCTCAATCTGACTTCCCCTAGCGAGGAATGAGATGTGCATGGGTTTGAAGATAAAGACAAGAGCTTTAACTTCACTTCAGCAACTTCACTTTATTTCTGCAGTTGTCAGGTGGTCATTGATGGAACTGAGGATGATAGTGGGCGTATTTATCCTCTGTAGAAGATGAGAGAGTCGGGGCCCTCTTAGTTGGTTGCAGGCAGCTCAATCTGACTTCCCCTAGCGAGGAGAGCCAACTTATCATCCTCATCCTCTGAGTGTTTTGCTTCTGTGAGCTAAAAAATGAAATGCCAACAATAAAACTGGGTATCCCATAAATCCAGAGATGATTCTTTTCTTGTTTAGATCAGAATGAAGATTCACAAAGCTCGGACCTTTCTCTAGCTGCCAAGCCTACAGCAAGGTATGTAGCTTTGCATGGGGTTGTGGCCACCTGGTTCTTTTCTGTTTGGACAATACTTTATTTTCACTGTCTCATCTTTTATCCCAGGGTCTCAGAATTACCATTAAGCCTTATGATGTGGGTAAGGGATCTATGAGAATTGCTTCGTGCACTGATAAAATGCGTTCACCTCTGGGGAGACAGCTGCAGCTAGCTAAGAGGAGGCGGATTTATTCATGTAGGTCACTACGTGCTCCCAAGCAAAGCTGGAATGAGATGAGGACAGTAGAGTTTCCTCCTGTTTCCTTAACAGCCTTGAGATATTAAATTCTCATATGATTCCTGGAAATATTCTGACTACCCTTAAAATTTGTTTCAGCCCTTCCACTCTTAAGTATCATGTTGGTCATAAAGTGAGTCTGGTAGAAGCTAAATGCCAGCCATACTGGAGCTCAAAGAGCCCAGGGGTAGGTGCCCTTTTGGGGTTTATGGAATGGTAGCGACAGATCAGAGGTGACAAGTTCAGCCGTTAATCTATGTGAATGTCTATCTGGGAAACCAAGTACCAAATGTGAATTGGTAACCAGCACTTCATTTAGGAGGGCGAGTCATTAACCTTCTTTAAACCATGATGGCTGCTTTACAGACCTCTTGTTTTGTTTTTATGTCCAGTTCAGAAACCACAAAACAAAAGAACATTAAACATACACCTGACCCATCACCTCCCAGGAGAGGTCGCCAAGATTCGCCTGAGCTTTCTCCACCCAGGAAGCAGCGCCATGACTCTTCAGATGAGTCTCTATCCAGGAAGCAATGTTGCGACTCCCCGGACCAGTCGCCGCCCCGGCGGGGCC